ATTGGGTTATGTAGGTGCTTCCTTGATTATCTTGAAGCTCCACTTAATACAATTTTGTGGGCAGGCCTCTTGCAATTCAAATTACTATAATTTTACTGCCGGCAAAGAGAGAACACAAACATTCTTCAATTAGATGATCCAGTCACAGCATTTGTTAAGAAAATTACATTTTGTAAGAGTAATATGAAGTTGAACTATAACTCTTTTCCCTCAACTTTCCATGTTTCTGTCTGACAATGAAATAGAACAATGTTCCACTCATGTTATGACTAACCATCTCAGCTACGTGGAGACATATTTTGAATCCTCACTCTCCAACTTGGATGTGACAAAATTCAACTGAGTTCAAAGCGCTTTTCAAAATCACCCCAAAAGACTTTGATCTGCCCAAAAGGTGAAGCTGAAGTGCTTTTTGAAATTTTACAATTAACATTTAGAAAAATGTTTCTCGATTTTCTCTGACAAAGTCCCAATTCACTATGAAGACCAACTTTCCGGATGTCACACTGCATTGATGGAAAGTGATAGTTCCTTTCACTGACAAGGTATTTGAATGGAGCTGGATTTGGCACACTTACAACAAATCTCGATATTGATCAACCTGATGTCACATCAAGATTAGATGCATACTAATTAACTATGCTGCTAGATTCTAAGAGACTGTGCTGCAAAATGCCTACCTACATATCCTCTCATTAGGCATAATAATGCAAAATTATTTTGTAAAAATGGTGTAAGAGATTTTCATATGTATACAAAACATTGCTTATTAATCTTTAATGTGTGAATGTTACTAATAAAGTACTGAATTTTAATGTACTACTGTTTCGCTTTTGCTGCTGTCTAGGGTCACAGCAATTTTGTGGTGTTAAAATTCAGTCACAACTTTTGGAAGCACTTGATGGGTAGACTTATTGCCTTAATTCAACTGCTACAAATGGCATTGTCACCTCTACCAGAGTTCTCCAATTGAAATGGGAGTTGTGCAATGGAAGTAGTAAATTACCTAGATTACACTGTATTCAAGATAGGTCTTAGTATAATATAACATCAATGCGTATCTGTAAAGTTCAAAACGTCTACATGTACAGTCAAGCAATTATAGTAAATATATGAGGCGAGACACAGCATAAAGCTAAAAGAAGGAGCTTGGACAAATGCCTGGCAAAGTAATAATTCAAAACACCGAGAAATATAGAAAACAATAAAGGCATATAAAGGAAATAAAGATGTGACATGTCAAGTGCTACAGATTAATCAATTTGCTGCAGCAGTTCTGAGCAAGAATATGAAGGCTGCAGAAACAGCTGGGGTGTGTCTATTTCAATTAAAGAAGAGAATAATCATATCAAAGAAGCAGCTAGGCAAAGTCTACTGGTGTATTATGGATCATTCAAAAATATTCAAAGGAACAGACACAGATATCAAGTAAAGTGAGTACAGAAGCTATAATTAGAACACCAGAAGTGAGTTCAGGTAAAGTACACAAGTAAGCATCAAAAATCATATTCCAAAAGTAGAATCAACCAAGAAGTGGAGACAAAGAAAGTCCAAGATTAAGATAATGGAGACATTGGCTGGTAAAAAATAGTTGTTTCAGTGTCAGAGAGGTTATAAAGAAGGTTAATGACACAATAGGAGGTGGGAAGGCAAGTGGTGAGGAGAATACAAAGAGTCAGAGAGATATAGACATGTTAAGTGAGTGATCAAAAACTTAATAGAAGATGTAAAACATGGGATAAGGTGAGGTTATACAATTTGGCAGGAATAATAGAGGGACTGATTTGATGGTTTTTGTGCCTAAATCAGAAAAACCTAGCATACAACTTCAACATGTAATCAGGAAGTCATATGGAATGTGGACTTTAGTTCAAAGGGAATAAAACCATACAAGGCACTAGTTAGACCACTCCAAGAATAGTGTGAACAATTTTTGACCTTTATCTAAAGAAAGATATGCTGGCATTGAAGGCTGTCTCATTGAATTTTGAGATTCTTGAGGGTCCTGACAGGATAGATGCTGAGGGGTTATTTCTCCTTGTGGGACTCTAGGACCAGAGGCCACAATCTCAGAGTAAGGGGTCACCCATTTAAGACTGAGATAAGCAAGAGATAGTAAGAACTGCCAATGCTGGAGTCAGACATAACAGTGTGGAGCTGGATGAACACAGCAGGCCAGGCAGCATCAGAGGAGCAGGAAAGTTGACGTTTCAGGTCGGGACCCTTCTTCAGAAATGGGGGAGGGGAAGGGGGTTGTGCTGGGGAAGGTAGGTGGGATGGTGATAGCAGGTAGGTAGTGGTGGGGATTGGCCAGTGAGGTGGGAGGAGCAGAGAGGTGGGAGAGAAGACGGACAGGTCAAGGAGGCGGGGATGAGAGAGAGGGTTGGTCATGGGATGAGGCTGGGGATGAGGAGATTTTGAAGCTAGTAAAGTCCACATTGAGACCAGTGGGTTGTAGGCTCCCAAGGTGGAATATGAGGTGCTGCTCCTCCAGTTTCCGGATGGCGTCGTTGTGACACTGGAGGAGGCCCAGGATGGACATGTTGTCCAGGGAGTGGGAGGGGGAGTTGAAGTGGTTCGCAATTGGGAGGTGTTGTCATTTGTCGCGAACAGAGCGTAGGTGCTCTACAAAGCGGTCTCCGAGCCTCCGCTCAGTCTCACCGACGTAGAGGAGGCCACATCGGGAACAGCGGATACAATAGACCACATTAGTGGATGTGCAGGTGAACATCTGTCTGATATGAAAGGTTTTTTTGGGGCCTGGGATGGGGGTGAGGGGGGAGATGTAGGGGCAGCTGTGGCACTTCCTGTGGTTGCAGGGAAAAGTGCTGGGGGTGGTGGGACTGGTGGGGAGTGTGGAGCGGACGAGGGAGCTGCGGAGAGAGCAGTCCCTCCAGAAGGCAGATAGGGATGGGGAGGGAAATATATCCTTCGTAGTGGGGTCAGATTGCAGGTGGCGGAAGCGGTGGAGAATGAAACCTTGAATCCGGAGGTTGGTGGGGTGATACGTGAGGACAAGGGGGATTCTGTCTTTGTTTTTGTTGCAGGGAGGGAATGTGAGAGCTAAGGTGTGGGAAACACTAGAGATGCAGTCAAGGGCGTTTTCGACCACTGAAAGGGGGCGGGGGGGAAAATTGCGGTCCTTGAAATATGAGGACATCTGGGATGTTCGGGAGTGGAACACCTCCTCTTGGGAGCAGATGCGGTGGAGGCGGAGGAATTGGGAATAGGGGATCACATTCTTGCAGGAAGGTGGGTGAGAAGAGGTGTGGTCTAGGTAGCTGTGGGAGTCGGTGGGCTTGATATAGATATCAGTTTCGAGGTGGTCACCAGAAATGGAGGCAGAGAGGTCCAGGAAGGAGAGGGGAGGTATCAGAGATGGTCCAGGTGAACTTGAAATTGGGGTGGAAGGTGTTAGTAAAGTTGATGAACTGTTTGAGCTCCTCGTGGGAGCACGAGGCAACGCCGATACGGTCATCAACGTAGCGGAGAAAGAGGTGGGGGATGGGGCCAGTGTAGCTGTGGAAGAGGGATTGTTCCACGTATCCTACAAAGAGGCAGGCATAGCTTGGGCCCATGCAGATTCCCATGGCCACCCCCTCAGTCTACAGGAAGTGGGCGTCCACATTGAGACCATTGTGTTGTAGGCTTCCCAGGCAGAATATGAGGTGCTGCTCCTCCAGTTCCCGGATGGCGTCGTTGTGACACTGGAAGCAGCCCAGGATGGGCATGTCATCCAGGGAGTAGAACCACCAACCCACCCTCTCATCCCCGCCTCCTTGACCTGTCCGTCTTGTCTCCCACCTATCCACTCCTCCCACCTCACTGACCAATCCCCACCCCTACCTACCTGCTGTCACCATCCCACCTACCTTTCTCAACCCAACCACCACCCCTCCAAAGTCTATTTATTTCAGAGCTCCCTTCCCCCTCCCCATTTCTGAAGAAGGGTCCCGACCCGAAACAGCAGCTTTCCTGCTCCTCTGATGCTGCCTGGCCTACCGTGTTCCTCTAGCTCCACACTGTGTTATCTGAGATAAGCAAGAGTTTCTTCTCTAGGAGGAGAGTAAATCTGTGGAATTCTTTATCACAGAGGGCTGTAGTCATTAAGTATATTCACAGCTAAAATGTACAGATTTTTAAATGGGTAAGGGAATCAAAGGATAAGGGGAAAAGGCAAGAAAGTGGAGTTGAAGATTATCAGATTAGCCACGATCTCATTGAGTGGTGGAGCAGACTCGATAATCTGAATTCTGCTTCAAAGTTTTACAGTCTTTTGGTCTGAGTGCAGAAAAATAAGGCATAAGCCATTGTGAGAAATCTACTGTATATTTGATGTTGCAGACCTGGGAAAGCAACTAAGCTACTGTTTGGGCCTGTCAGGTGAGCTTGGAAAACTAGTAGACAGCAACAAGAGCACAAAAACAGCTGAGGTTGAGAAGCAGAGTTAAATAAGGACGCAGATAAAAGAATGATTGCAAAGAGCTCTGTGTACAGGACTGGGTTTCACTGAAAATGACATTTAACATCAACTGGATTAGTTACATAAAACAAACCAACTTGCTAAGGTTACAGTTTCAGGGATATTACAGAAAATGAAACCACAAAAATAAATAAAGATGCCCAATGAACAAGTTAATGTATAAAGTTGTTAATTTTGCTCCTGTATTATTGATTTATTTAATTTATAAAATTATTTAATTGTGACTTGAATAATCACTCCTGTGATTAGGAGTTAACGATGGTATATTATTCATAAAGATGTCATTTTGTCCATGGCAAAATGTAAATACAATAACGAATAAGTTTTAAATAACTGTTTATCAGACCAACTATGCTTTCATCAATTGTAAATGAAATGTCTTAAATTAAAATGTTACATAGCCAATTATTTGATAATTTGCATTCTCATGCTGCACATTACTAACTATATAAAACCCACCTAGTTGGTAGATCAACAAAAACTTTGTAATACATAAGAAACATGCTCTTTTCCATACCTTTTTCCCCTGGTTTCCCGATAAATCCTGGCAGTCCATCAAATCCATCTAGACCACGGTCCCCTTTTGACCCTGAACAGCAACAATGACTTATTTTAAACCATATGTTAAGTATTAAATTTTAGCAAGTTTAGTTTATCTTTATAAATTAGTTACGTTGACTTAAGTTCAACAATACCAATAAGACAATAACAAAAACACTTTCCAAGGAAGATTAACATTGTAGCTGCTGAGAGGTTAAATTCCTTGGCTAACAAGCCTAGCATTAAGATAGATATTTTCAAGCTGGAGAACCACATTTTCACTCAGTTGGTTCTGAGTCTTTGATTGCAATTCTCTAGCTCAGAGAGTTGCTCAATGAGTATATTCAAGATTGAAACCAAATAAATGGGGATTAGGCAAGTGGAGTTCATGGCAAGGCTCAACTGTAATTGCATTACATGGAGCAGCAGGCTCAAAAGGTCCATATGGCCCTTCATGCTGCTATTTCTTATGCTCTTATATATTTTTACTATGTATCAATTTGACACATTAATTAAAGTGGAATCCTTCTTTAAACTGCAGTATATCTAAGTTGGTCAAATGTGTACGTAAGAAATATTGGGCTGAATTTTACAGGGGACTGAGCGCCTGTGACTATAGTGAGATGTCTAGCAAGGCTTGTCTCAACATCAGGAGCAACGTGCTGCATCTTTTATGTATTTGCCGAATGGTGAGCTGAGTTTCTTGGTAGGCAGTGGAGAGTTGAAAACTAAGCAGGATTATAGCTTGTTAAATACATTATTGGCATCACAACTCACCTCATTAACATTCAGCTTCCTATCTTACCAAATTCATCAAACAAGCTAGAATCAAAAATTCTCAACATTGAATTCAGAGTAGGTACCTGGCTACAAACAGCCTCCATGTTGCTCAGCACCAAAGAACATCTGCGGGCATGATCCACCTGCACACTTCATCAACAGATATTGGCATCTGACAAGTCAACTCATCACCACAGCACCTCTCTGATCCACTTGCTGCTTAGGAATCACACGTAGAGGTTTATAAAATGATGAGGGGCATGGATAGGGTGAATAGCCAAGGTCTTTTTCCTGTGGTAGGTGAATCCAAAGCCAGAGGGCATAGGTTTAAGGTGAGATTTAAAAAGGGACCAGACAGTCAGCTTTTTCACATAGAGGGTGGTGCGTGTATGGAACGAGCTTTCAGAGAGCTTTCAGAGGTGGTGGTGCTGCTGAGTACAATTACAACATTTAATAGGCATCTGGATGGGTACATTAACAGGAAGGGATCACCTGTGTGTGTGATTCCTAAGCAGCAAGTGGATCAGATGGATATGGGCCAAATGCTGGCAAATGTGACAAGGGCAGTTTAGGATATCTGGTCAGCATGGATGTGTTGGACCAAAGGGTATTTCCGTGCTTATAACTCTATGACACTATGACTGAAGTACCTTGCATTGCACTAAAACTGAAAGGTTGCAAAGACATGTTGTTTGTAGGAACAGGTACCTAGCCCTCTATCTTGTTGGAATTCAAAAGGATGCAAGGAAAGGAAGGAAAATGGCAGTGACCACACCACAAATAGGCAGGATAACAGCCTGGAACTGTGATGAGGGGCTGCAGGATCAACTTATGTGAGGGCTATTTTAAAAAGCCCTCACATCACACACAGACTGCTGCACTGTACAGAACACAGCTCTGCTGGGTCCCTAATCCCTGGCCATCATAATATATTGGCTCCCTGTTGCTGCACACCTCCATGACCCAGATGTCACTAACGATCTCATTCACACCAGTACCTTTTGACACAGAGGTCAGTAAATCAATATGGATGTTTTAAAATGAGGGGAAATGGTGTTCGAATTGCCCTGTATGCACCTTGTTCATTTTGCTTCAAGATGGTGCAGCAGGTTCTTAACACATACATCACTCTCTGTACATCCTGTACGGACATGGTGTTAAGCATCATGCTGGCACAGTTACATTCGGGGCTAAACAAAGACTCAAACAGATGCTGTGCCAAAACAATGAAATGTTAGGCAAACTTGAGACTTTTTGTACAGCATATGTTACCCATGCCACCAAAGTGTCCTCATCAACAGGTTTTCCTTCCTTCTCTGCCTTTCACTCAGTGTTGTCCCTGGTTCCCCTGTCAGGGTAGATGGAAGCTGCTTGTTCAGGCGACTCTAGCAGAATTTCTCTCTAGACAGCCCGACAGGCTGAAGAGCTTCTGGTGTGTGGTTCCTCCTCAAGTTGGATGCCTCCTGCAATTGGCCTGGCTCCTTGTGCAGTAGGGGGACATATAGTTCATACTAAGTTCCCCGTCCATCATGCCTTCAGTCCTGAGGAAGAGTAGCTGGGGAGGTGGAGTGCAGGCACATGCTGGACCTACCTCTCCTTGGCAGCTGCCCAGATGCAGGAACATGCTTGGCTACTCTCCAGCAGTCTCTGAGCAATGAGGGCCATTGTATTCTATATACCCATTTGCTGCTCCTGCCCCTCCCTGTGCACATGGACAAAGTTCCTGATTGCCAACACTGTAGGTTCCTCTCCTTCTCGGGGCTTGAGTAGGTGCCTGGTCTCTGGAAGTCCTTAGAATGCTAGCAGCCTTGAGTATTTCTTCCTCAGCCAGCTGTGAACCTGTCAGAGTGTGGTGCTCACCAGATTGCTCCCACACTTTCGTAGCCTAACATTCCCACTGAGGTGTCAGTATGTGAGCTGGTGGAAAGTGAAGGAGGCAGCCTTGCTAGTGCTTCCTCGGAGGGCTCAGGGGTCTCCTCCTCAAAGGAGGAGATGACAGCTTCTGGGGCAGCCAGTCTTTCCCCCATGGATGTTGGGGCATCCCATTGGTACCTATAAGACACGGGGGAGAAAAAGCATCATGGCCAATGATTAGAAGTGAATCACACTGATAATTAGCTGTGTTACTGTGAGAGTTGTAGTGGAACGAAGAGTGTTACTTACCAAGTTGGCAAGACATGGATGTCTCAGCATTTTTGCAGAAGCAGTCTTGAGCTTCTCCCGCAGGGGCTAGGATTTCTCCTTATGACAGTTCAGTAGACTAATGCTGGGCACCCCCCTACCTGCCTGGGCTCGTTCTGTCCTGTTATGGGCTGTTTTCTCCTGCAAGGAGAGAAAGGGATGGATTAAGTGAGCTGCAAATGGGTGGCACAGCTGTTAGTGCTAGCTCAGGTGTTGGAAAGGTAGTGATGTGTTCAGAAGGAATGAGTAGACAGCACAGCAGGCACACAGGGATAGTGGTGGTCATTTGGGAATAGGAGATTGACAGCAGGTGTGGGAAGATGTTGCAGACAAGTGAGAATGGCAGAGCCCTTGGTGGGGGGGCGAGTGAAGTAGCAGAGATAGAGCGAGTGCAAGATAAGAGTTTGGCACTTACCCTGGCAAAGTGGAACAGGTCATTGACCTTGCTGTGGTACTGCTGGCCAGTCTTTCACATTGTTGACATTGTGGAGGATGACCTCAGGCCACGCTGCCGGGATCCAGTGGCATGGCCTCCTCTGCCAGTGCTCCAGAAAAAGGATGCTCTTCCAAGTGCACAGCAACCTTCTAAAGATGGCACAGCCAAGAGGGATACTGGTCTTTTTATCAAATATCCGATGAGTAGCAAGTTGTTCCCAGAATAAGGTGGAGCTAGAATCAGATGTGAGAGATGCTATTGGGACAGGGTTAGTAGTCAATGAGGCAAGTTTGCTAAGTATTGCCAAGTTATGGCAAGAAACCCTCCAAAAAGCTGGATGCAACTTGAATTTAGTCAAAAAAAAAGCAAATATCTAGCTTACCTTTCTCTCCAATAGCACCCTTTATACCAGCTTGACCTGGGGGTCCAGGAAGACCTATTATGCCCTGGTCTCCTTTTTCACCTGGAGGCCCTATAACAGGTGAAAGGTAACAAATACTGAACCAATAGGTGATTAAATTCATGCTCCAAGTATCTTTATCTCATCTGTAAATAGACTAAATAGAGAACTTTATCAAACCTCACTCCAAAAAATTAATGACAAATACGATTCACTGTGCAGAATAAGACATGCCCCCACCCCAGGTCACTTGTGTACGGCCTTAGGCCACTAACATATCTAAAGTTCCTCAACAAAACACATGGAGAAGCCAATTAAAAATCTATAAAACCTGCTTTTCTAAAAGCTAAATATTAATAAGTTATATGTAGCAAGTATAGAACAAACCAAAAGGTGAAACATTGGTTTCCTAAAAGTTAACTTTTAGGATAATCCAGCTGTTTTAAAAATTTGATTCAAAATTTATACTTTTTCTGCTTTACAATTAGAATTTCTAACTTTAGTCATAGCTGTAATAACTTGATTAATACCAGAGAAAAAAATGACAAACTACTGCTGTGTCAAATTGAAATAAATCCTGAACCATTACACTTGACACCCTCATGTATCTAATATTGTAGGCACTCCTGATTACTACAGTCCTGTCCCCTGCACATGAGAAACAATCTGGTATTGTTAAGTTGAAAAAAACTTAAAACTTTGGAAATCTTATCACAATATTTATAGTTCTATGCAACTATTTTGAATACTTAGTTTGATTTTATACATTTTTGTTTTTCCTCCCCACAGAATTGTCACAGCACACAAGGCTGCCATTCAGCCCATCATGTCTGGCTTTCCAAATAAGCATCATGTATTAGTGCCATTGTCCTGTCTTTTCCCCAAATCACTGCACTTTAGTGAAGCGAAAACAATCATCTGTTGCCCTCGTGAATGCCTCAATGGAACCTGTCTCCACCATACTTCCGGCCAATGCATTTCAGACCTGAACCAGTCATTGTGTGAAAAGAAGAATTTCTCATCCCAAATTTGCTTCTTTTGCAAATCACTTTAAAGTTTTTCCGTCTCATTCTTGATCCTTTTATAACAGTTTCACACTCTCCATCCAAATGTGAAAAATAACAGATACTTGCTCATTGCTTTGATTTTTCTGGCATGCTCTTCCAGATGCTTTAGGGACAGGATACTTGCATGGTATTGTTGTGAAAAATGTAAAAAGAATGACACTTTCAATTTAGAATAACTCTTAACTAACTGCAAATTGGTTCTTAAGCTGTCCGTACCAGTGTTGTTTATAAGTTGACAGTTGAAGTTTGACTGCAATGACTGCGCTGCTTTTGTTCATATCAGACCACTGCTTTAAATGACACTACATTTTATTTTGTTATTGAGTAATGTGCTGCGTTCCAGGCAGTGGAAAAGATTACAAACAATGGACAGTATCAAGGTGGGAAAAATCTTTTGCAGATGATGGTTCTGTTCTGAAACTGAGGGCAGTAAATGGTGATTCATTCCACACATATCCCATACTTTACTTGTCTTAGAGTGCTTTCAGTATCTGACAGTGGGCAGCAAAGGTAGAATAAGCACAGATATGATTCATCGTCTTAGCATATAAATTCATTTCTAAAATTGATTGAATTTTTATTTCCAGTTGCACTTTAAGATCCCTAAAATATTGATTAAGCCATCTTATCTTGTATTTTTCATTAAAATAAACTGCTGGATGAAATAGTGGATATGAACAAAGAAAACTGCACTTGATCAGGCATCAACGTTACTCCATTACATGGCTAATAGTAAATATGAATGGAACATTTACCTCTTAGCAGTGCTTTATGGAGATAATATTGCAGCTAACTATAGTGCTGGGGACCACTGTTCTTTAGACATCCTGAATACTTGCATTGTTCTCTACTGACCTCATTAATCAAATATATATTTGACATTCTTAGTACTCAGTGACTGAAGCATGAGGAGTTTCGTAGAGACGAAGATTCTGTTGCCCAGTATTAGCATCCATGTAAAAGGCCAACTGGTCACCCTTAAAGCAAAATTGATTAAAATTTTCAATTTGCTCAGGCAAATGGAGAGGCAGATAAAGTTCAACCTTAGAAACAGCAATTGAGCATTTATTCACCTGTCAACAGGAAAGAACTCTCGAAATAGCTGCAGAAGAAAAATCAGCAAATTACAGTCCAGAAGGCTGAGGAGTGACTTTTATAGAGGCTTATAAAATCATGAGGGGCATGGATAGGGTGAATAGCCAAAACCTTTTCCCCGGAGTGGGGGAGTCCAAAACTAGAGGGCATTAGTTTAAGGTGAGAGGAGAAAGATTTAAAAGGGACCTAAGGGGCAAGTTTTTCACACAGACGTAGTGCATGCATGGAATAAGCTGCCAGAGGAAGTGGTGGAGGCTGGTACAATTATAATATTTAAAATGCATCTGGATGGGTATATGAATAGGAAGGGTTTAAGAGGGATATGGACCAAATGCCAGCAAATGGGACTAAATTAATTTAGGATATCTGGTCAGCGTGGACAAGTTGGACTGAAGGGTTTGTTTCCACGCTGTACAGCTCTATGACTCTATAAATATGAAAGCTGTTTTCCTCTGTATTGAATATTCATGTGTGTGCTGTCTGAACCACTTTACAGACACACCATTAGATATTTTTTATTAAATTTAACACCATAGTAACAACATGCTGCTGTTTTCTAGCTGTCAGGAATCCTGTGTACTGAATGTCTAAACATGGCTTAGAACTCCATAGTTTGGAAGACTGATACCAAATCAATACAGTGCTATTGGCAGCAATCCTTGGATCATTATTCTGCAACTTTGCAGGAGCAAATCGTGGTGACCATGGTAATGGGGAAAATGATACGCTGGCTCTAAAAAGAATGCACAGGCTTTACTGTACAAATTCAACTACTGTATCAATTTTACCTGCTTCGCCAGGTTCTCCCTGTTCACCTTTTTGACCTGTTACTGGAGGACAGCAGTCACAGCAATTAAAAAGGAACTCATCCGAATCAATAGTAAAATTTCCATTATCTTCAAAAGGCGGTAGAGTTGGAAAGGTGTCAAATAAACGTAGAGATGTTGACTTCAATGTGGAACTTTCAGATGAAAGACCTGAATTATCAGTCCCAAGTTCTTCTGCAGGTACAGTTGAGGTTGGAAATAAATCCCCAGTAAAAACGTCATCTTTCTTAAATTCAGCTTTTGGTGGTGGTGTACTTTTTGTGACTATTTGTGCTATGAAGAGTAACAACAGAAGGAGCTTTGTGTGCCATGGAAGGCTAAACATCCTTGCAGCTGAAAAAGATTAATCAATGTATTAACAGTTAATGGAAATTAGAGATAAGAGAAATAATGATCTTATGTCAGTCACTATAATATGTTTTTATTGTTAGAAGAACTTTTAATGTTAAAAAATCTTAAATGTGCACAAAAATATGCAACTGCAATTTTCAAAAGCTTATTACCAATATGATACAACTCATGGGGCTCTCCAACACATCCATCAACTTTCTATAAGTGTGGCCACATTTACATCTTCAGTACAGATATGCAGTAACCAGCATGGACATGATGGGCAAAATAGAGTCCACCTGTGTTGTAACTATTCTAATTCACAGGGAAAGCTTTCATCAGTAACACTGTTTAAACCTGATTATAAATACCATTATTTAACAATGAACAAAACTGTAGCTGTGTCACCCAAACAAAAATGACCACATTTTCCCATTTGTGCAATGGTCTAGATTTTCTATTGCCCCCGGAAGTGAGTACAGGCAGTAGTGTGCATTGAAAATTTCATTCCTGGAAGCGGTCATTGGTTGACAACATCTTTGGAAATTGAAGCAATATTGAAAGGGAGAACAAGAAGGGGATTCGGGAATCTACAAGTCTCCAATTAATTAGTTGTTGATTCAGAGAAGCCGCTGCTATATGGAGGTATGACAGTGAATGGACATAGGTCAACATAACAATGAAGCAGAGAATAATGCTCAGCTACTCAACCAGCGGCACAGAGGAGCTGAACGGCATGCATTTGTGAGCGGTGAGTGGCAGGATTCCAGAAACCTATGCAAGTTTGTTGGCATTGCTTGAGCAGCAGATGTTGGCAGAGGAAGCTCTAGTGAACAAATGCGTGGCAACTGATACAGTTCAAATGGGAGCCATTCCAGCAAAGTAGCAAAGAGAAGATTCAACAGATACATCTAATTGTTAGTGAGGAAATCACAGGAGCACATCAAAAAGCTGCAAGGGGAAGGTGGCACTAATCAATGGATTGGGATTGCTGGCTAAGAGTCAACTATCTGCCAATGACAGAACACGGCTGGCGAGAGAAGACCACGGTCAAGATATTTCTGTCCTGGTATGCAGAGACCTAGTGTCACGTTACCCTCAGGTGCCCCCTACTTGCAGCCATCAAGGTCATCAGTACTCTGCATTTTTATACATCTGGGGATCATCTACAAACCAGTGTGAGACCTCACAGTCTGCAGTTCATCATGCCATTAGGCAGGTTATAGATGCTTTATTCCAGAGGATGAATGCCCAGTCCACTTTGAGACAGATAGATCAGCACAGGCATAAAGCACATTGAGCTTTGTCACTATCAATGAATCCCTCAGGTTCAAGAAGTCATCTATTCCTTGATATGCCATCAAGACACCTGCAAACCAGCCAGATTTCTGAACAGAAACAATTTCCACTAAGTGAGTATCCAGCTGGTCATTGACCACTGGAAACACATTCACAGATTTGCACCCAATTCCCTGGTATTCACCATGCTTCCTTTATCTTATGACAGTCCACGTGACACACTTCTTTGGAGCAACATCCAGCATCCACGAAATAAAACAAAAACTGTGGATGCTAAAGATCTGAAACAAAAACAGAAATTGCCACAGAAACTTAGCAGGTCCAGCAGCATTTGTGGAGAGAAAGCAGAGTTAATTTTCAGGTCCAGTGACCCTTCCTGTTCTGAAGAAGGTTTGACTCCCAATAAGCATCTAGATATGAATGGAGAGAGGGACTACAACCAGATCCATCTGTTAACACAAACATTCACTGAACAGACCATTGGCATCTTGAAGATATGCTTCCATTGCTGTGACCAGTCATGTGCTCTTTTCCAGCATGAGCCAACCAGAGTCGAATATGTTTACATTACATTTAACTGCATTATTGATCAAACATTGAAAACAGTAGGATGAATGGGTCTTTTTGAGGTTGGAAAGATTAGTCCCAGGGCCTTAAGTGCTTACTATCAACATTAATGACTTAGTGGAGGGTGCAGCATATAAGGTATCAAAGTTTGCTGATGATACAAAAATAGGTGGGAGAGCATGTTGTGATGAGAGCATATGGAATCTGCAAGGATATATAGATTGGTTCAGTGATATTTACAAACTTGGCAGCTAGAGTTTAATGTAGGAAAATGTGAGGTCTTGTACCTTTGGTAGGAAGAATCAAAAGGCAGACTAGTACTTAAACAGAGAGAGACTCCAGAAAAATGAAGCCCAGAGAGATCTGGATAACATGAAACGTTAGCATGCAGGTGCAGCAAGTAATTACAAAGTCAAAAGGAATGTTGACCCTTATTGCTGCAGAGTTGGAATTCAAAAATAAGGAAACTTGTTTTAACTGTACAGGATGTTGGGGAGGCCACATCTGGAGCATGGTGTACAGTTTTAAAGCATACATTTAAGAAAGGATATACAGGAATTGGACACAGTTGAAAAGAGATTCACTAGGCTGATTCCTGAGATGGAGGTGCTGATGTATTGAAAACATCTAAACATTTATTCATTAAATGAGGAGTAATCCTTTTGAAGCATATAAGATTGTGAAGGTGCTTGACAGGGTAGATGTTGAGAAAATGTTTCCACCAGTGGAAGAATCTTAAACTAGAGAAAATAGTTACAGCAAAAAACGACACTCTTTTAAAACTGAGATGCAAAGGAATTTCTTCTCTCAAAGAATCATGAATAATCGGGATTCTTTATTCCAGGGAGTTAAAGGAGGCCAGATTGCTGAAAGCATTTAAAGAGAAGGTAGATAGATTATTGAAATACCTGGGAGTTGGGGCTGTGAGAAGCTGGCACTAAAGAGGGTTTGGGGCCTGGACAAATCAACATGATGTTATAGAGTCATACAGCACAGAAACAAACCCTTCAACCCAACCAGTCCATGCCAACCATAATCCCAAACTAATTTTGTCCCACCTACCTCCAAACATTTCTTATTCATGTAGCTATCCAAATGCCTTTTAAATGTTATAACTGTACCTGCATCCACCACTTCGTCTGAAAGTTCATTCCACATACAAACCACTCTTGGTAAAAACAGTGCCCCTCACGTCCTTCTTAAATCTTTCTCCTCTCAACTTAAAAATATGGCCCCTAGTTTTGAACTTCCCCCCACCCTGGGGAAAAGACACATGCCATTCACCTTATCTATACCCATTATGTTTTTGTAAATCTCTGTAAGGTCACCCCTCAACATCCAACGCTCCAGTGAAAGAAAGTCCTAGTCTCTCCTTATTACTCAAAGCTTCCATTTCCAACAACATCCTGGTAAATCTTTTCTGAACCCTCTCCAGTTTAATAATATCTTTCCTATAGTAGGACAACCAGAAGTGGACACAGAACAGGTCTCATCAACATCCAGAACAACCTCACCATTACGTCCCAACTCTTATAACTCAAAAGGTCTGAGTAATGAAGGCAAACACCTTCTTAACTACCCTGTCTACCTGTGATGCAAATGGCAGTGTAGGCTCAAGGGGCAGAATGCTGTTCCTAGTTATTATGTTTGTGTTTCTTATGTTGTACATCTCGATAGGTTACTAAGAAACAAGGTGGGACCTGACTTCATTGAATCAAATGTTGAAGTAAGTATAACAATGTGCACATTTTCTGAAGAAGGGTCCCGACCCAAAACGTCAACTTTCCTGCTCATCTGATGCTGCCTGTGTTCCTTCTGCTCCACATTGTGTTATCTCTGCACACTCAAGCCCACTTTGCATTGATGCAACAGCTACATAATAACTGCACATTAGTAATCTACAACAATTATTGTGCATTGAAACTAAAATTAAAAATATTTCAGAACAATTAGTAATTTTTCCTAAGTAGTAATATTTGCAAAACAGAAAAAGAGCAAACGCAAGACAGTGGGGAAAAGTATTTTCAACTTGTTCACAACTAGAGGAATTACATTTACATTAGTAGCAATGAGATGAATGATATGACAATCTGTCTTGGATCATGTTAGTCAAGGGAAATATTTTGGTCAAAACAACAGGAAATACAAACTTACACTTCTTCTGAATAATAACATGCAATCCTGTATACCTAACTGAGTCACTGTGACAAAGAGATATAGGCTAGATTTTTACTCCTTGCCAGGACTGGCATTGGATGACTAGCCGGCATTAAGAGTACTCTTGCCAGCCAGAATAGTTACCCAGTTCCAAGATATTTTTTGCAGAGGTAATGAAGGAGGACAGTGCAGCAGGGCTACCCAGTGGGTTCCCAACATAGCCGAAGATTAAGATTTTCCATTGGCCTTCAGGTCTCCGCAAGTGGCAGAGGCCAGTTCAGGGGTCTAGAGACAGCCTCCTGGAGGGAGGCCAGCCAATGGGAAATCCTTCCTTACCTGCCTGTGTGCATGCGTGCATAAATAGCTGCAGGACATGCTGTGAAGGGGCTCCTCCACTGCTGCAATATAATGGCCTGGCCGAGATCCAATTTTTAATTGAAGTTTAAAAATCTGGAGAGAAGGCACTTCCATTTTGAAAAGCCCTTAATTGCAGGCCATCACAGCGTGCTGTCGCTTTCGTGATGGAGGAGTCTGACTGACCCTCCAATTTTAAGAACAAGCACACTATCCTGTACAATGATCAGCCTCTTGCTTTCAGTTGAATGCCCCTTGAAACCAGAAGTCAGTGAATCTTTCTCAGGAGCCTGAAACAATCCTAGCCTTTTTACAATCCAGAAATAACAAACCCAACCCATGTGTGAAAAGTGTGGAATGGGGGTCCAACCTAAATCCACTGATTCAAACCAAGAGAGCATTATCAACTACAGCAACCTTTGTACAGCAGATTTCTATATTTGTCTATTGGCAATCAACATTCCTTTCATGGCATATTTGAGAAAACATACATTTTATTCACATTACTAGTGACTTAAGTTATTATTTTGGATTTGTGGAATCAGTGTTGCATTCAAATTAAATACTAGTGACGAACTGCCACATTTCAGTAGTGATTAATCAGTTGCAGTTATATGCACTAATGCATTTGCCTCACTGCACAAAAAAAGTGTCTCTCAGAGAAAGTGAAAATGTCAAGCTCATTTTTCTGTTTGAAATCAGCAAGAGGACTATACTCCATGAAGTGTGGATGTGGAGCAGATCGTTAACTTGTAATTATTTGTGTCGATTTTGATTTCTTTTAAAAAAGAGTTATTGAAGCCTGGCTTTAAAATGAATCGATTTTCTACATCTTAGATCATTTTATGAACGAGCTAATTAAATTATGGGATCTCAAGGCTTGGTAGAGATTTCTGAAACGTGCTTGCTTTAAAGCTTAAGGAAAACACTTACAGCTTGGAGAGAGAGGGGGGTTTTGTTTTTAAGTTTTACTTTGAGATTTGGACAGTCTGAGAAATATATGAATGAATATGGCTGTATAGATTAGGTGTCCTAAGAGAAGAATATACTGAACTAGATTACCTTAGAGTGAAGAATTAGAGTTTGTCCCAGACCAGAAGTGTTGAGGTAAAACCCCCAAAAGGTTACTTAAAGGTGAGTATGTTTAAGCTCAGGAGTATAATTGCTTCAGGAAGAGCCGTCTGCAATTCCAGTCTAAGGTAAAAATCACAAGTGACTTTGGCCTGTTAAGGTGTTAGAAACTGGGACTCCACTGTAAGCATTAGACGAGTGGTGTCTTTGAGTAATAGACAAGGTGTGTTTTTAGGTACTATATCAAGGCTGTGTTCTGCTTACTGTAAAAAAAGTTGTTCATTTTCTTTTCAATTTATAAATAAGGATTTTGGCATTAATGGATTGCACTTTTACTGTGTTCAAAAATTGTTTATTTTATGTTAAAAATAGCTGGTTTGTTTTATTCTATTTTATCTACATTTCTGTTGTTAATAAACTTCTATCTTATTGTTAAAGCAAAAATTAGCAACTTTCTGTGCTTATGTTTCAGTGAGAGAAAAACAAAACATGACATATTAAGCCAGGTTTCTGTCCAGGATCTAACTTTTTCAGTAAAAAAAATCAGCTCATAATATTCACAGTCTTTTATCTAAAGACCATGTTTAGCAAGAAGTTCACTTTTACTTTGTTATTGTTTTTAATGTAACAAACTTAAGCATCCGTGTTTCATTTTACTGATATCCATTGCTTGTGCACTTCCCGAGTTCTAGCATAGATTTTAAAATTGTCTCAAATTTTAAAAAAAAAGTAACAACACAATTGAGAAGGTGTCAATCTGGTCTATACAACCTTTGGACATTGAAAAGCAAAATGTGCAGTGTGACTGCTCAATTTTGATCCAACTGTAACTTTCAGGAAAATCATTGGAAACATATTATGTTTTCCTCAATGACAACAACTTACACTTGTGGAATTTATTTGCTGATGTTTGTTTCATCCATGCTGCAATTTAGTAATGAACAGTGAAATAAGTGGGAGCAGTGCAGAAGGGTAAAAGAATAATCAACCATTTCAAACAGCAAGTCATGGCCATTAACTTTCATTGATTTTCACTATTCACAATTTAAAGGGAGAAACTAAATCTTTGCCATCTCCCTTAGATCATTGGGTGTTGGTCATGGTTCTTGCAATAGAGCACTTTTAGAAGTATTTCAAAGCAATGGTCTAATTTGAGTATCACTGAGCAGTTCTCCATTCCACTTGTATAAATTGCATTAACAAGGCATAAACACAGTGGCTGTTGTTTCCAGCACTTACTGGTACTGTATATCCACACTAATGCAAGATTTTAATGACAAAGGTTTATTTTGCTTCCATCAAGGTAACCAAAAACCGACAGTTATCCAAAAACAACTCGAGTCTTTGTTACAATATGTAACCTAAGGATGTTTTAACTTTGCTCTATTGCTTCTGCAAAACCATTGAAACAGAACGTTTGTTGCCTCCTTTGCAGAATGGTAGAGTTGAGTGATTCGTATCACTTCCGAGTACACTTCAATGTTACTAAAATGTGTTTTAAAAACTGAGTTTGACAGTTAACTGCAATCCTGAAGTGGTACTCTATGAAGTAACAAGTTCACGTTTCGTACAAGTCAGAATTAGTGAATATTATTGCCTCCGATCGACGCTGAAAAACGCGATTAAATTAAACCCAGAATATATGAGACTTCAAAACCTTTTCCACGATGATCTACAATGCACCATCTCCAATGTTATAATTCACTTCCACATTCAGAGGCACCTTAACTCAACAGTTATGTCTGCATAATATAAAGTAGTTCCTTTTTTTGTAATTAGGAGTGTTTAGCATAAACTTATCCCCGTTAAGCTTAAGTGATAGAGGTAACTCGCGATTTCGAGTGTTGTTAAGGCTGACTTTTAGATTTTTTTGTTAACTATTACAACGCGAAAAAATATATACTTAAAAAAAATCTAGAACCCAGTGTTGAAACACATGGTAACATTGATACTCCACAGTTAATAATTCTACCATTGACAGCAAAAGTACAGAAACTATCACCAAGTTTATTGGCGTACCTGTTGTAATGTTTCCTTCACCATTTATCCTAATCCGTCCCAGATGAAATGCATTCCCCGATCCATTGATTTACTTATTTATTACTTTTAGGCCTGAACCAATGGCAATGTACGAGGTATCCGCAAAGTCAGGGGATTGGCTATTTTTTTCTTAACTTTTCCAAACCTCCAGTGGTCAGTGAGAAACCAGTCCTATTTTTTCACGGATGCATTTTCACAGTTCAATGACTTGTCTGTTGTATGTTGGGAATGAAAGTTCTTTTTAAAAAAAACTAACAAACTGTATAATTCAGTTTGGAAACCTCATCTTAGGTGTAATTTTACCGTAACATTTGCAGGCAGAAAAATACAAAAATAAACTCCCCTGAAGATTTCAGCGTGGCGGTACATGTTTTCAGTTATATAGACAGACTGCACAACACTGTCCTGATGTTACCGTTACTTTCTGCTGCAGCTTTAGGCGATTGATGTCCAAAATAATTAGTTTAATGCTGAATTCAGAACCATGCAATGTAATCAAGCCTGCAAGTTTTCGCATTTCATACCAATAATTCCATATTTTTGGCTTTTTAAAACAATCAATTTGAAAACGTTATATTTTGTGCGATCAAAGTTTATTACAAAAAGGTGGAGTAGGCTGACCACAGCTACGAAGAGATTTTTATCACTGGCAGAATCGTTAAGACGTTCAGGCCAATTTCAAACTTTTAAAACGGATATGCTGGAAATAACCAACAGATCTGCTGCTATTTGCAGAGAGAAGTGGTTTCAGATTGACGACCCCTCATCAAACCTGTATTCTGCGATTACAAATGTGCGCGGAAGAGTTTTATGGAGATTTGATTTTAATATTGAAATCTAAAGATGTATTTAGTGTCATAGGACGTAATGAGAGCTCTTCTTTTAAAAAAAAAGGCAGGCGTAGACCATTTTAGGTCCTCGAGCATGTCCCGCCATTTAATGAATCACGGCTGATTAGAAATCTAATTCCATATTTCTATATTTGGCCCGGATCCCTTAATACCTTTCATGAACAAAAGTCTTTCAGCCTCAGGTTTGTAACTGATAATTGATCAAGTACCAACTGTCTTTTTCATAGGAAAGTTCCAAACTTTCTGAACAGAGATGTTTCGTCATTTCATTTCTGAAAATCTGGCTGTTGTTTTAGTTATAGAATTGTAGAGACATAAAACACAGAAACTGACCCTTCTGCGCAAATCGTCCGTGTAGATCAGGTTCCCTGAACTTGTCCCATTTGCCTGCATATGGCCCATATTCCTCTCAACCTCTCTTATCAATGTACCTGTCCAAATGCCTTTTAAATGTTGTGATTGTATCCGTCGGTACCACTTCCTCTAGCAGCTGGTCCCATGTATAAAACACCCTCTGTGTGAAAAAGTTACCCCTCAGGTCCCTTTTAAATGTTCCCCCTTCAATGCCCTCTGGTTTAGAACACCACTCCTGGAAGACCTTGGCTATTCACGTCATCTATGCCCCTGATGATTTTATAAACTTCTATGAAGATCACTCCTCAGCCTCCAATGGACCAGGGGAAAAAAAAATGTTCCAGTCTCTCCTTAAAATTCACACCCTCCAGTCTCCGTAATATCCTTTTCTGCAGCTTTCCAGTTTAAGTCTGAGCTCTAGTTCCAGGCTGTCTATCCTGGAAAAATAGTTCCTCTCTGTCTATCTGTTCCTTTAAGTGTCTTGAAAACTGCAATAAATAACTCCATAACCTTCAATAATCCAATATTATTCTACTAATTTCATTTCATATTTTCTTCCGATTCTTCTTAAGTGGTGCCTGCAAAGTGCTGACAGTACTCCAAGTGCTGCTCAAACAAGGCTTTCTATAGCTAAGGCTTATATAATTATTCTCTATAGCAATGCTGTGACCAATTCAGAATGTTTTGGGTATCGATATTTACATGGTCTATGTACTTGGAATTCCAAATTTCTTTGCCTCACTAGTTTCTGCATTCACCATTTAGGAAATACAGATTTCTGACCTCCCAACTGCAAAATGCATTTCCTTACTTTGCTTATGTTGAATTCAATCCAGCTCAGCTTTTATTTCATTCTCTTTATTTATGAATTCCAGTTTGGTACTGCGGGGTGGGTTGGAGATGGTGACTCGTGGTCATGTCACTGTACTGATAACCCAAAGGGACGAGCTAACGTGCTGGAGATATGTTTCAATCAAACCACATGAACTGGTGGAGTTTCAATTCAATTAACAAGATCCGGAATTGAAACTAAACTCCGCAAGGGTGACTATGAAAGTACCAATTATTGTAAAAACTCATTTGGTTCCCAAATTTACTTTGAGGAAGGAAGTCCCCATCCTTACCTGCCTAGTCCACATGCGTTTCCATATCCTCAGAAATATGGTTGAGTTTGAACTGCCCTCTGTATTGATCGTAGCAAGCCACTCAGTTCAATGGCAATTTAGGCTGGGCATACAAAACAAAAAGTACGTTCCTTGAGATAATATGAGAAAATACAACATTATAAGACACAGTACTTGAATCAAAGCGGATTTCTTAATTGTCCTGCATCATTTTTACAGCACAATGTTTGTAATTAAATTATAATGAAACGTTAAACATTAAGTGTGAACTTCGCACTGAAGTTGTTATACACGCACAGCAAAAAGATAGAACATGGTTGCATATAAGCGTCTTTGTTCGAGCATAGGTAGAATTGAGAATAAATATAATAAATTCGGTGGTATTCTATTTTAATGTCATTTCTATCGCAAACGCTGATGGGTAGCTATTTAAGTGGAACAATATGGTTTTCTAAACTGCAAATGAACTGTAGACGGGATTTACGATGGGATATTATGGATGCTTACAATTTCTTCATTTAAAAAAGGTTGTATTTGAAGTCAATTTAATCTTACGCATTGCAACAGTTTCTCAAAGGCCGGCAAGCGGCCTAGATCATGCAATGTTCTTTCGAAGATTAGCTGCAGCGTGTGCAATAATATCAAATTTACAATGATGCGAAATTATCCGATACTTAAAAGGCATTTTCACAAGTACAATACAAATTAAATATTTTTTTATTATTATTATTATAAGCAAACAATTTCAAAAATATTTCGGAAGAGCTTTTTGGCAATTCTTTGTATTAGGAGTTCCTATTCGTTATTGTTAAGATCGAAGACACAATAGCTTTGCAAATAGAGAGAGTTAATCTAATTCTGAAGAATGCCGCCTAGGGAGTTCAGACTACATTTTCCGCCACTGGCCAATTTTGGTACCAGATTAGATTTCAACTCAGGCCGGTAAGGTCGTATCGTTGGCTCTTCTCTAGTCAAAAGCTGCTGAGGGTTTCTGTAGAGCTAGATCTGCTGGTGTCATTTTGTTGCAACAAGCATGATAAATGCCTTTAATTTGAACACGAGTTAATCTAGTTGCGGCGCTACGAAGAGAGAAACGTCCTGCTCTGAAATTAGACAGGAAGCGCCGAAACAAGTTCGGGGCAAGCAAGGCTATTGACCCGGGGGAAATAATGAAACCTATATTTCTATGTTAACAAGCCTACAGAATCGGAACATGCTCAGATAGGTGATTAAACTCAGACATGCGATTGAAGTCCCAGGATACAGAGTTTACATACAGTAATTAAACGGCTGTACAAGGGCAAGCAAGTATCGCATCCGGGAATTGACGGCTTGCTGAGGAAGGCAGTTTTTCATTGTTTAAAAATCCGGACAGGGATGTTCGATAATTAAGTGTCTTAAAAAGATCCATGAGATTTTAATTACTGAGGTATTGATTTAGGAAACAGCAGACAGACAAGTTAAAAAGAAACGAGCTTTGTCAGATGTGAAGAAGATGACTTTCGCATCTGATATTGACCAGCCACCATAAGCAAGAGCTATAATGAGATCTAATCTCATGAACGTAAAGGGAGAAATAGAGAACTATCATTAATCCATTCAACGTGATATAATTAGAACCATATAATGCTCAAGAAAAGTTACCCAGTAATGTTTCTATATGGGGTGGTATGTGACTTGGAGATGAACCTGTTGGGGTCGTGATCCCTTGTATCTGCTACGTTTTTCCTTCTAGGTGGTAGATGTCACACATTTGGAAAGTGCTGTGGAAGGAGCCATTGTGAGTTACCAAATAATGTGGATGGTGCAATTTGTTGCGATTGTGCATCAATGACAGACGGAGTGAACGCTTATGTTGGATGGAGTGCCAATTAAGTGACTACTTTATCTTGGATGGGGATACACTTCTTGTTTTAGTGTAGCTGATCCCAGGTGAATGGAGAATATTCCATCACACTTCTGAATTGTGCCTCAGATGGTGGACAGGCTTTGGGGTGTTAGAGGATGAATTACTTTGTACAGAATTATTAGCTTCTGACCAATTCTTGCAACCACAGTACTTATAGATCTAGACTGGTCTACCCAGTTTCTGGTCAAAGGTGACCCTCAGGAAAGTCTATGGGAAGGCAATGGCCAAGGGTATTATCACTGGACTGTTAATCCAGAGACCCAGGTAATGTCCTAAGAACCTTGGTTTGAATCCTGCCATGGTAGTTGATGGAATTTGAATTAAATAAATATCTAGAATTAAATGTCTAATGATGACCATGAATCCATTGCTGATTGTTGGAAAAACCAATCTGGTTCACTAATGTCCTTTAGGGAAGGAAACTGCCATCCTTACCTGATCTGGTCTGTATGTAACCCCAGACCCACAGAAATGTGGTTGACTCTGAACTGCCCTCTGGGCCATTAGGGATGGGTAATAAATACTGGCCTATCCAGCGACACTGTCATCCCCTGAATGACCTTTGTAAACAAAAAGGATGTTGCTAGAGGGGAATTCAATCATGGCAATGCCACAAAGGAATTGTTAGACACTTTTGATTGGAGATGATCATCGCCTGATACTTGTATTGGCATGGGTGTTACTCACTACTTATCAGCCCAAGCCTGGGTGTTGTTAGGCATATGAACACACTGCTTCAGTGTCTGAAGAATCATGAATGGTACTGAATATTGTGCAATCATCGGTGAACATATCTAATTCTGATTTTATTATGAAGAGAAGGTCAATAATGAAGCAACTAAGATTGTTGGATTGAGGAATCGACCTTGGAAAAAGTTCTGCATTGATGTCTTGGGACTGAGATGATTGAACTCCAACAATTGCAGACGTCTTCTTTTGCATCAGGTATGACTGAAAGCAGTGGAGATTTCATCCCTAATTTCCATTGACTCTGGTTTTGCCATATTCAGTCAAATGCTGCTTTGATGTCAAGGACAGTTACTCTGACCTCATCTTTGGAATTTCAAATCTTTATTCCATATTTGACCCAAGGCTGTAATAAGGTCAGCTAAGTGGCCCTGGCAAACCCAACTGACCCTCAGTGAGAGGGTTATTGCTGAGTGAATTTGAAGTGTGATGGACTGAAAGGTTAAAAATTGTAAAAGTGGTGACCATGAATATTACTTAGTTTCTTTTTGTTTTTAATTAAACCCAGTATTCAGAGAATAATTGAGGTATGTTTTAAACAAAATTTTTAAAACATTATACAGTTCATTTTTATCTATCTTTTTAAGCCAATAACCAAAGTTCTGTACCATTTCCAATTGGAGGAACAAACAGTTGATTTGCTGCTTATGCTTTTTCAGTGAAGGGCTGAGAAAGGTCGAGTCTTCCAAGACAGAGTTCAACTGTAGGGAATTTTAAGTGTAAAGCCATACTTCACCACCATGTGGAAAAGATAAGCAGTGTGTCAAGTTCTGTTAATGCCATGCATCGGTGAAATATGCAACCACATCATTCAACCTAACCCTAGTCTTAATATGGTGAGAATTAAATGTGCTTTTTGTATCCTTATCAAGTCAACTGTTATTAGCAATTAACTTAATTGCAATTGACTTAAAGAATTGACAAAAGCCACAAAATTGCTTGCGTTGAGCTTTCCATTCACATACATGTTGGAAAGTTACTGGGGGTTAGCTGAGTTATGTGAAAAAATTGTTTCAGACACAGATTTATTGTTTACATTGTTTATGCATGTGTTTGTCAATGTCTTTTTTTTACAAACCTAGATTGTTGATTTGATATAAAAACAAATGATGACAGAAGGTGACTCTTGTCTCATGTGCTAAAAGAACTGTAGAGAGTCATCTCAAACTAATGCAGCAAACTCCTGCAAGGTATTTTCCTTTAATATATGATTTTTTTTGTATTGTTACTACTGAAACTTGTTCATTCCTCAAAACGAGTTAATAAGTGCTGCCTACTGCATGAAGCATGGAAAGTTACATTGAATATTTTTTCATTCGTGGGATGAGGGCATCGCTAGCCAGGCCTGCAATTATTGAAAGTCACTTTCTCGATACTTCAAGGAGGGAATTAAGGTGGCTAAGGTCTGCTATCTGTGATACTGGGAAGCGGAGAAAAAGGCCATGATGGATCATCAATTTGCATTTTTGACTGAAGAGGTTTGCAAATATATCAGCCTTATTTACTGCAGTGACATTTTGAGGATCAGGATATTTGTGAGCCTCATCCTTCAAGTAGTTGTCTTGTTTGCATCAGCATTTATGGCTGCATGCGGCTGGACTGCAGAGCTTTAAATTCAATCTATTGGTTGTGAAATTGTTTTGCTCTGTCTATAGCATACTGTTTCTGGTAGTTAGGATGCATGCAGTCCTGTGTTGTACCTTAATACATTGGCACTACATCTTTAGCTAAATCTGTGCTGCTCCTGACATGCTGACATTGAAAGAAAATGAATATTTTTAAAAATTGGCTTTTGATTTCAACTTTAACCAAATTTAAGTCCTATACATTTGACTAATCAGTTCAAATTATCAAAAAATGGTCCCTCATCAAATTTATGGGTGATCAATGCTATTAATGACAACTTATAACTTATTTATAATAGAGGATTTTTTATAATTTCTACTCTAATGCATTAATAATTTCTTATTTAAACTTTATGTCGAATGTATTAGTGTTGCCTTTTTTTACAGTAGTAAAACTAAAGCAGTTCTATTAAAAATTTCTTGAACATAATTAATCAGATGTCATTGGGCCCAGCAATAAAAAGTTCTGAACTGTTTTTATACAATTTCAGGATGAACACAATCCTTTGAATTGATTTAGACTAAGAATTTCCATTTGCTCCGTTTGTCTAATTGAAGATGGTCAATAATTTACAATATTTTCACTGATTTCCAACTATAATAAATCCAATCCCCCACCCCCAGATGTCAAAGAACGTGAAGGATAAGATAAAGCAGAAAAGGAGAGCTTATAAAAACAAAGAGAACTGCGGATGCTGTAAATCAGGAACAAAAACAAAGTTGCTGGAAAAGCTCAGCAGGTCTGGCAGCATCTGTGAAGGAGAAAACAAAGTTAACGTCTCGGGTCCGGTGACCCTTCCTCAGAACTGAGAGAAAGGAGAGCTTATGTCAGACATCATGAATTCAATATTGAAGAAAGCTAAGACCAGTGTCAAAAGTGTACTAGCGAAAGCTAGGAAAGTAAAGAGAGGCCATGAAGGAATATTGGAAAGTTAATATTGAGAAGAACTCACAGATGTTTTGCCTATACATTGAGTAAGAGGATAACTAAGGAGGAGGGACCCCATAAAAGACCTAAAGTGTAACCTATGTGTAGAGGCAGAACATGTAGGTCTGGATCCGAATGAACAGTTTTCATCTGTATTCAGAAAAAGGGCAGACAATGCATTTATAATAATTATTAAGGATGAGTGTGAAATATTAAATATGATAAACAGGAGAAGAGAGGAAGCAATAGGGAATTAGCATCCTTAAATGTGGATAAGTCACCAGCAACAAATGAAATGTACCTCAGGCTGTTGAAAGAAACCAAGGAGGAAATACAAGATTCTCTGACCACTCTGATCACTTTCTAATCTTCATTAGGGTGAATGTGATGCTGAAGGATTGGAAAACTGCTAATATACCTTTTTAAAATGGAGTGAGGTTTTTTCATTCATTCATGGAACATGGGTGTCACTGGCTGATTAGTATTTATTGCCAGTCCTTAGCTATCCTTTAAAAGGTGGTCTTGAGCTGCCCTCTTGAACCACTACAGAATAATGTATATTATGTGAATAATCATTAATAGTAAGGGCAGAAGCCCTTTTTTCAACTAAGTGTCAGGATGTAAGCCTGAAATCCCATAATCTTCAGAACATGGGATTAGACTGGGTAGTTCATTGTTCAGTAGGTGCAGACACAGTAGGCAGAGTGGCCTCCCTCTGTGCCAGATACTTTTGGTACATTTTCTAATTACTTTAAGTCTCCAAAATAGACAAATGTACAGGAATGTGGAGAAATGGTAGAGGTGATACACTGGCAAAATGGTAATGTCATTTACCTAGCAATCCAAAGGCCCAAGTTAATGCTCTAGGAGCACAAGTTCAAATCCCAACTCTGGTAGCTGGTGGAATTTAAAGTCAATCAATAAAATACGGAATATAAAGCAAATCTTATTAATGGTGGGTGTGACAATTATTTTTAGTTTTTAAAAAAATCTCTTTTGATTCACTTACCATCTTTTAGGGAGAAGAAATCTGTACCTGATCTGTCTTATGTATGACACCAGAGCCACAGAAATATATTTGACTCTTAATTATTCTCTGAAATGAACCAGCGAGGACAATTAGAGATGGGCAAGAAATGCTGCCTTTACCAGCAATGCCCCCAATCCAAAAAACAATAAAGAAAAAGGTTCAGCATGGACACAATGGGTCAAATGGCTTTCTTCTATGCTGTGATAATTCCAAGATATGAAGTAAATATATTAAAATATAAATATTAACCTGTTATTATTAGGAGGAAAATAAACTTTATTATTGTAGCTGATTGCAAGATATAATTAATTATATTATTGATTCAGATGCAGTAGTTCACACCATTTCAAATGTCATTCAAGTCTGATTTTTATTCTAATGATTTTTTTATGTTTTCTGCATAAATGGAAAGAACACTATTGTATGTTCTGAAGTATATAAAATATGACATGTTCAAAATAGTAGCCAATTTAAAAATCATACAGTACCTCACTACACATTGCAATAAAAAGTTTAAGAATAATAGTAACTGGGCTTGTACAAGTAATCAAATGGCTAGTAGAAATGCTGAAAAAGTGGACATACTACTGTGTGTCATTTGCCTCCCTCCACCACTGTTAACAAGTCCAAGCCAGATTTCATCCCCATTTGAAAGATTCAAAATCAGAGATGCAGAAGCTGAACCAATGTTTCCATTAACCTGGACACTAGAAGTGTTAAGAATGTTGACATCATTCATAAAAAAGCCAATTGTCAGTTTCCATTCTGAAACTATTACATTGTATGTAAATGAGTAGATGCCACTAACCTCAGCAATAAATGTTCCTGAACTAGTGTTATACAGCTGCTGATCATTAAAGAAAATATTTTGAAATTTAACTGGCGTTCCAATCAATGGAAGTTCAATTTGTCCCATTAGCCCAACTGAAAAAGCCTGAGCTGTAGCACATCCATTTTTCTCATCGTTAGGACTCAGAATTTTAGTCACTTCCTGTTGATCAGTTCCAATTATTCCTTCAGTACTTGAGCTGCCTTCTGATGCCTGTGATCCTTCTGGATCAGAAAAGGTAGAAGGTCCAATCTCTCTGCGAAATACCTTTCTCCTTTCTTCTTCTTGAGAATGGATTTCTTTAGAAGAATCAGGAAGTTCAATATTACTCTCTTCTTCATGGTTTCTTTTAACATATTCTCTCTCTCCAGAAGATGAGTTCTGGCTGCTTCCAAACTCTCTCTCAGCTCCTTGATGTGACTTTTCTCCTTTTGCACCCAAAGGACAACACTTGCCAGCATTATTCTTTGGACCCAGAGCCCCTATTTCGCTTGGTTTATTCAATGCATTATTTTCTTTGAATCCCTGTATTGGTACTTCAAGAATGTTGTTTTCTTTGATGCCAGACAAACCTGGAAACAATATAAAGTGTTAAAATCTCATCTTTTGATCGAAACATCAAAATTTACTGTACATCAGGGGACATTTGTCCCATCACTTCCTGTCTGTCGTTCAAAAGATAGAATCCCTACCGTGTGCAATCAGGCCATTCAGCCCAACAAGTACACACCGAATCTCTGAACAGCATCACAGCCAGGCCCATCCTCTCCTACCCTATCCCTGTAACCCTGCATTTCCCATAGCTAACACACCTAACCTATGCATCCTTGGGCACTACTGGGTAACTTAGCATGGCCAATCCACCTAACACATCTTTGGACTGTAGGAGGAATCTGAAGTAGCTAGAGGAAACCCACACAGACATAGGGAGAATGTACAAACTCCACACAGACAGTCGCCCAAGGGTGGAATCAAAACTGGGTCTCTGGCGCTGTGAGGCAGCAGTGCTAACCACTGAGCCACTGTGCTGCCCCTATTATTCAGCTCTCATTTGAAAGCCTTGTAGGCTTCAAGGCAGCACTTCAAGTCCATATTCAAGTTCTTCATAACTTTTCTGCGATTCTGCCTCCACCATCTTTCCAGACAGTGTGTTCTAGTCTCCTACCATCCGCTGGGTGAAACCATTCCCCACTAATCATCTTAAGTCTTACCCAAATCAATATTGCCTGCTTGTGCAGCCCTCAACGAGAGTGAATAAGTAATAATAGTAGTAATAGTAATAATTCTATTAACTTTAGCTCGCCCCTAAGAAGCTGTTAAGCACAACAGATCATTCAAAGTTACAGAAATACTAATTCAGTGATGAGTTATTCTGCACTGTTAATGTACTGGTACAGTAATAATTTCAATAACTGTCCAAACTTTTTTCATCCTGTGATCTGCATGTCCTTGCTCACTATGATCTGCTTCTATTAATTGCAAACAAAGCTTTTCACTATACACATGGGTACAGATGACAATAAACCAAATCAATGTATCAGCAGTAGGATTTGATGAAAATGTAGTAATACAGAAACTGTAACAATGGATGTAACAATTTCTAATGCCAGTATATTGGAATTTTCAATAACAGATGTAGTCTTATTATATGAAAAGAACTATGTGTTTTATTCTTAATTCATGAAGATTTATAGTATTACCATTAATATCTGAATCCATATAAGCAGTTATTTCAGCGTCATTGTTTTCATTAGTTGGAAGGGGAGTAACTTGTGGAGACGGTGTGGTCATTAGGACATTTGTTTTGTTCTCTCGAAATCCAGAATCAGTCATTGCAACTAGATCAGATAAAGTAGTCTCAGTTTCTGAGGAAGCTGTTGGTTCTGGAGACTCAGTTTCATGAGATCCAAAATCACCTTGTTCCATTGGTAAAAAAATTCTACCAGAATCACTATCAACAAGGCTGGTTCCATTCTGAGCATATATTCTGGAAGTCAGCACTGGCAGTACTATCAGAAATGTATGAAGCATTTCTACAAAGATAAAAAGAAAACACAATTTTGAAATATTATTTAAATGTTATATGTTTGTGATTTTAAAAAAAAATACATATTGAGATATAAGCAGTGGTGGTAAATGAAATGCTGTTTTGGCCACATGATAGGACACATAATTTAGGAATAGTAATATAAGGAAATAAGATTTCACCATTCTTTCTCATCATACGGCTAAACTCACCATCTCATACAGCTAAACTTTTCTTCATCAGTATATTATTATTCATACAGCTTAGTCGACCGTGTTTCAATGGGCAATATTGTAATGTGCACCCAAACCCATAAATAATTTTACCATCATACTTCCAGCTGACAGGTGCATTCATCCTATCATTGACTAAATTCACACCCTCATGCATCCTACTGCAACATCCAAACTTTGAATCGATTATTATTATTCTAAACTCCACTCCTCTTGAGCAGTTCTTAACACATCAAATATTTCAACTGGCTTATAAATGATGAAAATTGTTTCTCAAAATCAGGTCAGCAAGTTTCATTTTCCTCATGAAACATTTTGGTCATTTACTCTTTGGGGAGACAAACATGTATCAGTCAATATCATTGCCTCTGCCAACCATACATAATTCTTATCACATTATGGGTGGATTATATTCCACACAGGTTACATAAACGTCATTTTTGAGCAGAAATATCTGGGTTCAAGTCCCAGCTGCCCAAAAGTGTGTCGCAGCATGTCCTAACAGGTTGATCAAAATAACTGCACAAATATTGTCCTTGTATGCCAAATCATCAGCACAGGTCATTTACCAAATGGAGTGAACAGTTCTGGGACTTGCTTACATTTAAAATTCTATGCGGTCTCTACTGCTGAAAATCTTACCTGGAAGTGAAGTGTTCAGTGGAATTACACAGCTTCTAAATCTTTTTGGCATTTGGGAATGCTTACAGACTTAAAAAGAAACTTGATGTTAACTTTCTTGAATGTATCTACTGAAAGTGACGTTGTGAATCCTTTTTCATGCTATCAATGTAATGCGATAAAATTATTAATGGCAATAACTGGAAAGGGAAACAAAAACCACCAATTGTTAAAATCTTTTGGACCAAATGCCTTCACCCAGTTCTTGCAAAATGTTCAACCAACAGGTGCAAGTCCCAGGGTCTACCAGCACTTTCTCGTTCACTGTTTCCATTAAAAATCAGTTGCGCCATCAATCTCATGGAGAGAACACACAACTTCACTAAAATGTGAAACTACTCAAATCCATTTTAGAAACTTGGTCAATTTACATCACTACATTTTATAGTAGTCCAAATAAAACAACAGCTTTTAACCACAATCTTTTAAAAACACATCTCTTCATCTTAAGTAAATCACAGAAATTAACTTTACTACATTTTTAAATAAATCAAAGTAAAATCTCGAAACTTTCCACATGAACATGTCCTATTCGCCTTCAGTTTATCTGAACAACTTGAGTTTACCTGCACAGAAAAAATATCAACCTTCACTACAATAGCTTCAATCAAAACTTCTTTTGCCCTGATCCACAGCAGATCTTAAATAGAATGCAAGTGCTTCGTGGAAGTAAGCATTTGTTTCCCAATTGCATATTAGATGCCTGTCATTTCCTTTTTAATAAATTGAGGAATTTGAATGAGATATAAGGATGTGCTTCAGTGCTCAATCATAATTACCGTTATTTTCTGATTTAATAGCCCCTCACCGAATAACTGACTGTGATCTGAACAAGGCCTACAAGCTGTGCTTTATATAAATTAATAACAGTTCTAAGACAAGAAGCTTCAGAGCTGGGTAGTTATTCAGAGCAACCAATGGAAATTTATTGTTTTTTGCAAATAAATCCAAAAACCAGTCCAATGGCTACTGACAAAAGCATTTTCTTTTCAAATTGCATTTTCACAATGAGAGTTCAATCTTAATAAACTGGCACACAGCATTGACTAAAATGTGCAGTTACTACATCTTTATCAACGTTTATGCTGCATTTTGCTGATCTAAATGTCACAAGTAAATTGAAAATCATCAAGTATGTTTAGCGTCTCGATTAATGTTTGCTCCATCAATTTCCAAAGGCATTTTCAATATCAAAAGGTTGCTTCCGTAGCACCAATGATGTAATTAGAAGCTGTATAAAAAACAGGACATGGATTTCAAAGGCTTTATGTTAACAAGACAACACCTACAGCCATTTCATTATCAAATTTGAGCATTTCTGAGAAAATGAATCCAACTGCTGTCCTATGGCTCAGACTACAGTAATACCACACTGACACTTACTCTTAAGAAAAATAATGTTAAATTGAAGATTTCATTCAAGATCCAGTTTAAAGCTTTCATTAAAATGATTTAACAAATAAAATAGCTAATAAAATGGAGAAATCTCGGCACTGATGACACTAAAATAGGTAGAAAAGAAAATTGCAATGAAGCTATAAGAAATTTACAACTGAATATGGATAGGTTACATGAATGGGCTAAAATGTGACAGATGCAGTTCAATGTGGATAAGTGTGAGGTATCTATTTTGGTCAGAAGAACAATGGAGAGAAATTTCAAAATGCTTTAGTGCAGAAGGTTCAGAGTGTCCTTGCACACGAATCACAGAAAGCTAGTACACAATGAATCACAGAAAACTAGAAAACTTACTACTCCTGCTTCGAGTTCTTATGTTGATGAAATCCACCCAAAAGTGTATTGTCCCCAGATTTCATATGCAGATCTTCTACCCACATTAACTGAAAGATGGTGTGGTTGTGTTTGTGGGTGAATCTTCTTAATCAATTTTTAATAAAAAGCAAAAAACCTAAACTAAGACCTTTGTAGTTTCAGTCCATATTCCTCACTTTGCTAATAGCAAGTTCCCATTCAGTTAGACTGCACACTGATCTGTCCAGTCTGATCTATATTTTAATTCGTAATTACATTTTTCTTTTCCATCTTACATCTTACATTTAAGCCTTTACCCTATAAGTAAATGTTAGGACAGATGGCCAAAGGTTTGACAAAGCTTTAAGTTTGAAGAAGTTTCTTGAAGGAGGTGAGAGGAGAGAGGCAATTTCACAGTGTCATGTCTAGCTAGCTCAAGGCAGAGCAGCCAATGGTGGAACAATTAAAATAAGAATGCACAGGAGGCTGCAATTGGAAGAGTAAGAGGTCTTGGATGTTTATAGGTTAAGAGAAGTGAAGACATATAAAGGAGTGAAGCCCTGGAGACATTCTGAAACAAGGATATGAATTTTTAAATTGAAGAATGGGAAGCTTTGTAGGTCAACAAAAACTGGGTAATGGCTGAATAGAGACTTGGAATGGAATCTTACAGGGGTCTGAATGGTTTTGTTTATGGTGCAAAATGTGGCAGAATTGTGTGAAAAGCCTTGGTGAGGCCTGTCTCAACATCAGAAGCAAATCGCCACATCCTTTAACTAAGTTCAGGGCATTGAGGTAAGATTCTCACTCGAAAGTGAGTTGCCTATTATAGGGTTCATTGCTCATTAACCACCTTATTAACTGCATTTCTCATTTCATTCATATGTAGCTTCCTCATATACCTGATGCAAGTAAACTAGATGCCCAAAATTCTCAACATGGAAGTCAGAGCAGCACCTGGTGACTGCCGGCTATAAAAAGTTTCCATGTTGATCACCACTCAACAGTATCTCAGAGCTCAATCCATTGACACTAACAGCACACATCCCTCAACATAGATATTGGCATCAGACATTTGCCAATCTTTCAGAATCCTGTGGCACCTCTATGATCTGATTACATGACCCCTTAGAAGTACAGGCCTGCACTGAAGGGCAACTAGCATTGAATAGCTGCTTATAAGACACATTGCATGTAGGGACAGGGACCCAGCTTACGAATTGCATCAGGCTAATTATTAGGGCTGCTTATTTGCTCTCTTAGGGCTCACTCACTTAGCACCTAACTACATGTTCACAGCGTCACTGCCTTGCCTTGCTGGTCATCAGTCCTCAGCCAAAGGGAGCAGACATTTTGCTGATGATCCAAGTGAACCTTCTCTGAACTGCCTCCAATGAAATGATGTCTTTCCTTAATTAAGGGGCCCAAAACTGTTCACAGTCCTCCAGATGTGGTCTCATCAGCATCTTGTACAGTTACAGTAAGACTTCCCTCCTCTTATCCTCCAACCCCCTTCAAATAAGGGTCAAAATTCTATTAGCCTTTCTGATTACCTGCTGTACCTGTGTGCTAGCTTTCTGTGTTTCGTGCACCTGTATCTACAAGTCCCTATGTGTTACAGCTTTCTGCAGTTTTTCTCTATTTAAATAATATTCTGTTCTTTTGTTGTCTCTTCCAAAACAACTTCATATTTTCCTATGTTATACTCCATTTTCCAACCTCTTGCCCACTTACTTAACCTATCATTGTCTGTCTGTAAACTGTTTGTATCTCTGTCACAACCTGCCCTTCCACATATTTTTATAGATGGGCAATGTTTCAGAGATGGTATTAGGTAGCGTTTGTGAGGGAGAAGATATATGGCCAGAAGCCTAGATGAGAGTCAACAGGCTATGATAAAGATGGGTGCAATTTGAGAGGGGCTAGCAAAAATTATTTAATAATACAAGCCAACTAAGAATGGGCTAGTAAACAGACAGTAAAGGCCAGACAATTGAAGAGCAAATTTATTTTCAAAACTGACACTAAAATAAATTATATTTTGGAGTTGCACTTCATTATTTATTGAGTCTCACAGGTACATATTTTTAAAAAGGCATATATTGAAGGATCACACAGAGCATGGTTTAAATTATTTCAATGTGCATTCTAGGTGGATAGAGATTGGAAAGCATGGAACAGGTGGCTTGGGTGGCAGCGGAAAGTATTTAAATATTTTTTAAAATCATCTAATA